CGTGTGAAATGGCGGCACCGCAATGCAATCAAACTCCGGCTGTGCATAATGGTCAATCCTCTGGTTGCCTGCCAATATCAATGGCACTCCTTGCATTAAGGTGCCTGGGAGCGAGATCGACATACATAGCTCACTGCTCCTGCATGAGGGCTCCCCGACGTAAGCATCGAGCAGCCTCAACAAAAGACTTGTCACTCTCTGACCCTGATGTCTTGCAAAAATACCTCGGAATTTATTATGGTCGATAGGATCAATAAGAAGGCTGCTACAGGTTAAGGGAATGATGACAGTGAACTGCTTGCGGTCCACGGCATTCTTGATCTTCCCTAACCTACGCTCGAAAATGTCCAGGTGTGCAGACCTAACAACCTAGCCATGATCCGCATGACAAATATGTAAGGGGCTTTTATGGAATCCTTTCCCGATACTGTTTGACCCAAATACGCGGTTTGTCTCAAGCGTAGTATAAAGCCGTGGTCGCTGACCGACACATCGTGCTTTACAGAACACATCAAATCCTGCATACGCAAGGACCTATTGAGTCAGCCAATCACACTCACGTAACTTTTCGTTTCGCCCACGATGCTCTTCCGCAACATTGCCTTCTACCTCACTGCTGGCGCCTGTCTCGCAGTATCCCCCGTTCTGGGCGCCAGCGACATCAATCAAGCTGTCTCGGACATGAACGCCCTTACCACTGCCATTCAAAATGCCCGCCAGTCCCTAGACAACTACCAGGGAGGGACGATCTCTAGCCTCAAGGTTAAGACTTCTGTGCAGGCAGCCAAAAGCGCCGCTCAGAAAGCTCGCCAGAACCTGGCTCAGCAAGACGAGCCCTTCAATGATGACGAGGCCGAGCAATATTACCAGGCCTACCAGGCAATGTGCCCAGAACTCGTGGACACAGTGAAGGTAGCACAGGACAAGGTATTATGCTCTGGGCGGTTCCAACTTCACCGATTCGATATGCTAATATCTTTCTTGTGCAGGCGCCTCTATTCAAAAACGCTGGATTGGCGTCACCCGCGAGGGCGACCATTGATTCACTCCGGGATGAGCAGGACCAGTTCGGGGAGGAAGCCCAGAAGCACGTCCCTGCGGACGTCTATGCCAGGGCAGTTCCTTGTTCGGATCAAATCAGGCAGGCGTTTGATGACAATGACAATGCTCTGTCTTGAGGGACTGCATAGTCGGTTCTGAGTATGTTGACATTTACATACTCAAATGGCAAGGTATCTGCGTGAGGGACTGGTGAACCGGAGGCAATACATCTAATTGGCTTCATAGTTTTGTCGGTTTTCATTTAACATCCTAGATGTTTGTAATATGGAGAAGTCATGTCAAGAGTATCTTCCTTCCTTCCTTTCTTCCTTTCTTCGTAATCTTCAAGCCTGAATGAAAGTTAGTCACGAGACAGCGCTTAGTTACCTTAGCCGTAATGATGATTGCTGTCGTGTCAATCCAGTACGTATTGTCTACCTTACATTAGTACTATTAGTACTACTTGATCGCCTGTAAATACTGTTTTATGAAGACTTGGCAACCCTTTGGGAGTTTCTGGACGTCAAGCAAGCCTTTCCCATTGTTACAACTACTAACGTTACTCCGCCAATCGACCCGAACCTTAAAGCGTACAAGGTCCATTATGAAGACTCGAGAATTTGGTCTGGCATTCCCCTCCCTGGCCTCCTTCAGCCCTTGCATACCATGTGGCTGGTGTCAATTCCTGAAGAGGACGGGCATTCTGAGAGGCATTCCTTCATGCCCTTAAGGCTAGTTTGTAGAATGTTAGAAAAAATAAGATAGATATGTGTCAATAAAGTCTATTGCAATGTCAGGCAATGTGACACACTGAATCCATCTGGCATGGAGATCTGTTCCTTTGAGGCCTTCCGGTGTAGGATGACATGACTCGCTACGGCCCCGCACATTGCGTGTCTGTTTACTCGTTTACGAGTTCGAAGAAGGAGTGAGGTTCTGGTAGGATGGGCATTTCTTCAGCATCATCTTGGGGAGCCCGCATATGATGAAGTATGTTTAACTCAGCACATGTCATATGGGTGTCTTCCAAGATAGATAGATACTAAGTACATGAAAGGTACCCCTGAGAGTATAGGCGATTAGGCATTATCAATTAGATTAGCTTTAAAGTATTTTGGCTTGTTTTCCCACTACATCATTTTCGTGACCATACCTCCCATATGATCACCAATACATAAAAGAAAAGACAGTCAAAGAAAAAGACAATCTCAATCCCACCCTGAACTACATACCACGACCTGCCTGCCAGATCAGCCTTCCAACCAGTACTTTCACCACAATGTATGATCAATCAATCCAATCTCACGGCATCCATCCAGTTACCACCCTTTTGCGCCACATGCCCTCTCATCTGCGCAACCCAAGACACTGATTTCTTATTCAAAGGAAAGAAAATATGACCACGATTGCAAACAAAAAATTCGATATACATATCATGCGGACTCAGGCCTCTTCTTCTCAGCTCTAGGAGAATGCATTCATCAGGACGACGCAACTTGATCCTTGTTTCCTCCCCCACTCCCCTTCCGCGCCTTTTGCCATACCACTCATACTGCAAACTGCCCGCGTCCTCAACCGACACTCCGAAAAGGTCCGCTTCCCCCCGAGTAGTGTCAGGTGCGTACTTCCAGCGCACGTACTCAGTCAACACATGGGTGGGAGACTGCAACACTGTTCCTCGGATATAATCGTGTAGGAAGGTAAGAGTAGGCTGTGCCATGATCAGTCGTCGGATACTGTTGCTTTGCTGGTCGCGCTTCTGGCGCAAATACATATCCAGTTGGACAAGGAACAGTGTAGCGAGAAAGATGTCCCCATCTTGCCAGACGTGCCGGTTACGGATCGTCCACTCCCGGCGCTCGTTGTCGGGGATATCCATCAAAGCCCACAGTTTCAGGATGGGAGTGGCCGCTTGCGACGGGAGGTTATACCCAGCTTGGTGGAGGAGGACCATGATCTCTCGCACAGTGTTGTCGCGGTATGCAAGCATTCGGATCCATGGGATGGATGGAACGAGGAGATCAAGGTTATACTGGCCGTCTTGGGGCTGGGGGTCGCACCAGTGCCTGGGCTGGGTGCACAACTTAGGATAGCAGAGGAAGGGGAATGTAATGGCAGCGTAGGGGTAGCGGGTTGCCGCATGGGTTGAGATAACATGCCCGATATGCGCGCTGAGGAACTGGTGAAATGGTTTAGATAAAGCACCTATGTTGACTATATCGTTGACGTCGAGGTAGCTGGTGAGCGAAATGGCGAGTTGAGGATGGTATGAGAGTCTTCGCAGGAGGTCGAACCCTTCATGAGGGATATTAGATATCTGAAGTTGAGGGGGTGGCTGGGTTTCGGCACCGTGCATCGGAGCCATGTTCAAGGCTGGAGGGGCGATATCTCGTTGCTGCTGTGGCATTATCCTGGCTTCTGGACGGCTAATAATCCGCGGCTGTTGTGGGAGAGTGTTGGCATCTGGGTGGCCGGCAACCCGTGGCTGCTGTGATACTGCCCTGGCTTTTGGACGGCCCATAGCTCGTGGCTGCTGTTGCACTGTTCTCGCTTCAGTCCCTTCTGCGGTCAACGTGTTAGCAGATGTTGCTGGAATGAAGGTATTGCTTGGGGCCCTGGTCTGAGCAGCAATTTGCGGCCTTGCTTCCATAGCCCCGGCTGGCTGAAGAGATATGGACGCCAACTGGTCCTTAGGAATTGGTTGGAAGCTACCACTGAACTTTGCAGGGGGGATATTCGGCACCTTGATGCCCTCGTTCGTAATCTGCACAATAGCCGGTACTTTCTCTTTTGCATTGCTACTCTGCTGGCGCATAGGTATGATGTCCTGGGGCGGAATACCGGCGATCAGCTGCTGACGGATCAAAAATGCCTGCAGTGCTAATTCGGGGCTAAGATTTGCTCCAAAGAGTTGGGGTTGCTGGTTTGGCACTGCGGAGGATCTCTGTGGCTGGTTGGAGACTTGTGGAAGTTGAGGGATATTCGGGGGCCCAGAGGGTGTCGAGACGATGTTTGAGCGCCCAGGGGGGAGCTGTACTCGTGGAGGATGCTGTGCTCGAGGAGGATTCTGTGCTCGATGGGAATTGTGTGCTCGATGGGAATTTCGTGCTCGGGGGTGATGCTGCGCTTGAGGGGGGTTCTGCGTTTGAGCAAGATTCTGCGCTTGAGGAGGATCCTGTGCTCGAGAGAGAAGCTGCGCTAGATGCGGAAGCTGTACTTGAGCGAGATTTTGCAATTGAGCGAGATCCTGTACTTGAGGGAGATTCTGTACTTGAGGGGGGTTCTGTATTTGTGGGGGGTTCTGTGCTCGAGGGAGGAATTGTGTTGGATGAGCGAACTGTTGTCGTTTTCGAGGAGGGAGCTGTGTTCGAGGAGGAAGTTGTGCATGAGGAGGGAGCGGTGCTTGAAGGGGCTGTGCTTGAGGGTAGAACTGTGCTGGATAAGCGAGCTGTGGTGGAGGAGAGAGCTGTACTGGAGTGTAGCGCTGACCAAAGCCACTCACATGAGCACTAGGAAGGCTCAAAGTGCTCTGTGTGCTATGTTCCGTGTTAGGACGGACATGGCTGTACTGGTTTGGGGTCTGATTGCTCTCTCTAGAGCCCGCAAGAAAGAGCAAGCACTCGGCGGCAACGATGTCTTCTTGAGTGGTGGGAGTCGTCATTTTGTGAATGTCTCGCCGTGTAAGGCCAATCAGAAAATCACGAAACGGCTAACGCCGAGCACTGCAGTGATCAGTTGGATCCGCTTCTGAAACGGGGCTGAGCGTTGAAAGCAGGCCTTACACGAACGATGCGATACTCGTGTATCAACTATTCAGAACAGAGCACTGACCGGGGATACTTAGTTGTTAACACCACACAGAGAGACTGTTCCGAAATAGTAGTAGTTGAGATGAAATGCCGAGAGATTGGATGTCAGTTGATGTGCGAAGCAGTGAATAGATGTAGGGTTGCTCCCTGTGCAGTTGTAGTACTAAGTCATGAAGAATTGTCATGGGAGATGGATAACACTCTTTTTCTATTCAGTGAATGAAAGTTGGGACACTCCAATCGACTGGCTGGAAGAGTAAATAGTATGCCAGCTCAAGCGTTAACATTTGCAGATTATATCCAAGGTATGTACAGTTCCAAGAGCATGTTGATCAATATTCACCTAATATGCATTTCATGCTAGGATTCTGTATACTGTATTTGCTAGCATGTATTTTAGCTGCAGTTCTGGGTTACTTACCATACCTACAATCCAGAATTAATGAGCATCTTGGTTGTATTGTATCTCCTAAAGAGAGTTGCTTTGACGTGAAGACTTTGTCAAGAGCACAAATGTTGTCATTAACAGGCTCTAGACACTAATGAGAAGTTACAAAATCTCTTGAATTGGATACACAAGCAAATACCATCAAGCAGACTGAGCTGAATAGTCAATTGTTGAGATTGATCTTATCTCGAATATACATAGCTTTTAGCTATAAGATTTCCACAGCATAACGTCGTCCATACATCCCACATATCCCTATATCCAGTTGAGAAGATATTAAAACAAATGTTGAATCAACCTCGACACAGCGCCAAATTTTGCGGCCGAGGTGTACGGCAAGAGCCGCCCGCCTGCCCTAATATGTTCCCCGCTTGTTGATCGAAACAATCGAGCGAGGATCGCAGATAACGATGATCTGTGCATCGCAACCGCGGGACAGTATATATCTATACAAAAGCCAAGACAGTCCAAACGCAAGAGAACACTCCGTTCGCGCGGCGTAAAGTAGAATGCCAATCCAAAAGACCTGTTGAAAGGTGACCGCCAAAACTCCGTGAAACAAGAATACCATCCACTGTTAAATCGAGGGGGGTAAGAAGTAGTAAGTGTCGTAAGGAAGTTGAGTAGGCATGAGAAAATTATCGGCGGTGCAGCAGAGTCAGGAACTCCTCCCGGGTCTTTGCGCTCGACCGCATGCAGCCAAGCATACAGCTGGTCGTGGTAGTGCTGCTAGTCTTTTGCACACCACGCATCACCATGCACAGATGGGACGACTCCATGACAACACCAACACCACGTGGTTTCAGAACCTCGGAAATAGCCAGAGCGACCTGCTTGGTCAAGCGCTCTTGCACCTGGAGACGACGAGAGAACATTTCCGCCAGACGAGCCAACTTGGAGAGACCAAGCACGCGGCGGTCAGGAATATAACCAATGTGCATCTACCGAAGAAGTGTTGGTTAGCATTACTGAATCTCGTACCGAAAAGAGCAGTCTTACCTTTCCAGTGAAGGGAACCATGTGGTGCTCGCACAGCGAGAACACCTCGATATCTTTGACAATCACCAGCTCGTCATGATCTTCATGGAAGACCGCACCATTGACAAGATCCCGAACATTCTCCTCATAACCCTTGGTAAAGTAGAGCATGGCCTTGGCATATCGCTCTGGGGTTTCGCGCAGGCCCTCTCTTTCCGGATCCTCTCCAACACACTCCAAAATCGTCCTGACAGCTCCTGCAAGCTTCTTAATGCGCTCCTCTGTCTCTTCGGGCGACGACTCCAGTCGCTCCCTGGTGCCAGGGCCTGAGGAAGGGATCCGTTAGATCTCGATGATATCCAATCGCATCAATGATCACTTACAAGGCCAGCTCAGTCCATCAAAGTCAATTGGAGGGAAGAGGGTGTAAGGGCTCGCAGGTCGGCTGACAGTCGCAGGCGGGGTCAATGCACCGGCCTCATCTCTCGGATCGCGGGGAGGGTCGTTCAATGTCGGCCTGAATCGCGCAATTAGTGAATTGATTGATACCATCCCGCAGACGCAACATACTTAGCAGAGGTAGAGCCCCGGGGGGTATCATCCACCAGGGACTCCCCGGAAGGGTGAGCGGCAGAGGCGGGCAAGTTGAACTCAACCGGGATGCGGGGAGTAAACGACGAAAGGATGGAGGAGTTGAGACTCTCCCTCTCCCGAGCATCGCGCGAGCTGGTAGAGGGGCTGGTAGAGGCATGCAGAGGAGAGCCGCCATTCAGCATATGAGAAGGTATGGCAGACCTAGGCTTCGGGCCAGGAGGAGGGGGGGAAGTTCCAGAGCCCATGATTATTTTGGAGGAGAAAAGTAGGCAAGCGAGCAGAGGGAACTGAAAGACGGAGGAGATGTGGGTATTGGCGGCGTTGACAGAAGTAGGCTAAGCAACGCCTTGGGGATTGAAGAACGGATGGGGGAAGTGAGAAAGGAGGAGAAAGAGTTACAGTGTCAGAGACATGGCAGTAAGCACAAGAAGAAAAAGGATTCTGGAAGGAGGAGGATTAGTGTAAAAACCGAAAAAGCTAAGATGACTCCGGCCTTCGAAGGGGCGGCGACTCAATGATTTGATTTCCCTTTCGAACCCCTCCGCTTTTTCGGACGGCGGCGTGATCGCTGTGCTGACCGCCTTTGTCTTGCAGCCACTCACAGGTTGGCTGGCGGGGCTGATTAAGCTTCCTCTCCCCCAATTGTCGAGAATTTCCCCTCCACAGTAGTAATATTTCCTAGGGTGATCTTGTTCTGTTGCTAGAAATGCTTTACTTTGGATATTGGGTGAGTTCGAAATTATTCGCCAATTCATAAATTCACATCCGATAGCTAGGATCGCACATGTTCATCTATCTGAACCCGATCCCTCCCTACTTACTTAGTAGTTGCAAAGAAATCAATCCAGCTCGGTCATTGCGGCTCCGATTGGCAACGGCAGAAAAACGCTCCCGAGTGGGGCGCCAATCATCATGTCGACATCACGAGGGTAGGTGCCTGAGGCAATCTACTCAAAGAAGGGAAACAAACCATAGTCTGGAAAATGATGCAGTACTAAGTAGCTAGGCTTCATATGTTACATTGCAGCCACTAAACTCCTGTTAACCGACTGTGCAGCAGAATTCGTTGTCATGTGTTTGTTTTCTTTCCCACATCCTCGCTGTGATTGTAGCAACCCCATCGAAGAAGTACATGAAGTGAGACCAGCCATCCCCTGATGCAAATTTGCATCTGAAACTGGCAGCTCATGGTTCCAACTCCTCGGTCGGCACATCCTCCAGATCCTTGCCGACAATCGCATCTGCCACCTTCCACACCTGCAGCAGGTTGTCTTCAGCCGCCGAGCAGAGCACCCACGGATCATTCAGGTTCCAGCTGAAATCCGAAATGCGGTTCGTGTGGCCGCCGTGCATGAACAAACTAGAAACAGTGTCAGCAGTGTAACATGGTACAATACGGGAAGCGTTACGTACAGCTCGGGTGGACCATCCTGGGCATCCTCAGGGGTCTGTTCCTCCCCAGTCCGGCTAAGATCCCAGAACATGATCTTGCGGTCATAGCTGGCACTGGCCAGTACGCTCTCCTCAAATGGATGCCAAGAGAGCGAAGTCACGGAGTCGTTGTGACATTCAAGCGCGTGCAGTTTGGTCTTCAGATTACGTAGATCCCACAGGCCGATCGACTTATCGGCCGATCCGGTGGCCAGGACCGTTTCTGCGGCAGGGTTGAACGCAACGGCGTTGATGGCGTCACGGTGCTGGCCCTCCGCTGATGCAGCCGCACGCGTGGTTTCGGCCTCACGCACATCGAGAATTTGGAGGGTAATATCATCAGATACCGTTCCGATGAGTGAAGAATGCAGAGGATGGTATTGAACATCGTTGACAATAGAGGAATGATGGGTGTATGTCCGAACAGGCTTGAGTGCCTTGTTACCCTTTGTGTACGTCGTCAGATCCCTGAACAGCGGTTAGCTCCAGAGCAATCGTGTTTCACTTCTTTGGTCAGATCTTACCAAAGACGGACTGTCTTGTCCTCGCTACCTGTAGCAAGGTGACCGGTGGTGTGTGGACTCCAGCTGAGACCGAAACCCTCGCGAGTATGGCCTAAAAGCTCCATCTGAGGGTTGACAGTGCCTGTAGGCAAGCTTGGGTGCTTTGAGCGATCCCAGATCATTACACGGCCATCTGTGCACATGGTGGCAATGATGTTGGGGTTCTGTGGTTGGTATCGCGCCTTGTTGACTTCACCCTTGTGATCAATCTTTTGCACAATGTTGAACTTGATTTCCATAGGCGCCTTCTTCGAGCTGCCGCCGTATCCGCCAATCTCCCCACGCTCTTCATCGTAGTCATCTGGGTTAGGCGCAGTCGGATTAGGGAGCTGTACATGAGCGATCTGCAGATAGTTTTGCGCATCACTCGAGGTATGAGTGCCAATAAGCAGGCGATGAGTCGAGTAGGGCTTATCGGGAACACTACAGAACGTTAGAATCTATAAGGAAACGAATACAATGGGCGCGCATACTCTTGCTTATCAGGTAGCCATTGTGTTGTAAGAGTAGGCCATTCTAATGCCGTGCTCAGGATCATGTCATAAAGGAAAGGTGCGTTCTTCTTCCATGTCTTGTACTCTGTTCCACTCATTAGTTGGGTCGGGAGACACCCCACTGAAGATTGGACAGCGCACCTTCGTTGATGATCTTCTCCTCGGTGCGCTCTTCCTCCTGCTCTTCTTGCTCCTCAATGAAACCTGGCGGGAGGAACGGTTAGTGAAGCTCGCGCGACAGAATCCGGAGGGTGACCTCTCACCATCGTCGTAAGGCTCCATGGTTGTGGGGAAATACGGTTAAATGGGGGGAGAGATTAGATAACTTTCAGAAGGAGCCGATTGCTCAGAGTTGTGAATAAGCCGGGGTAGGAGGGCAGGCGGTTGAGATAGCCAAGTGGGACCTGGGAATGGAAGGGTAGCAAGACAGAGCTTTGAGCTGCGGATGAAGCTCTCTCACTCTCTGTTCGCAACTGGAGAAAACGCGCGACTTTCCCTTTGGCGGCGCGTTAATGGGCGCCCGGGCCACTAAGCCTGATTAGGCAGGTGGGCTTGGCACCACCTGATTGAGCTTCGGCCGCGGATGGCTGAGGTCACAAAAGTGACTTGGAAGAGTCATCATTCCTTGGTCTCATCTTAACTATCTTCACTTTGGACCCTCCTCTTACCTCTGCTCGGCGCTTCCGTCGCCCCATCTCTCATATTTTCTTTTTGTTTGCCTTCCTTCCCTTGTTGTATTCTACTGTCATACGTTCTCTGAAGATACCCAGTCGTTTCTGCTTGTCTACGACCGCATTGCCGTGCGCTGGATGATTTGCCTCCGAGCTTGGGTGCTTCATTGAAACCTGACGACTACTACGACGACCACGACGCAAGGACACTCCTTTCCTCTTATACATCTTACGCCTTTTTCGTCTGCGAATATTTTCTCCTTTTTACAAATTTCGCCATGGGTGTTCCCAAGTTCTTCCGCTGGCTGAGCGAGCGGTATCCCGCGATCTCCATGTTGATCGCGGAGAACCGTATACCGGAATTCGACAACCTATATCTGGATATGAATGGCATTATTCATAACTGTACACACAAGGACAGCGATTCGCCGACTTTTCGCATGACCGAGGATAAGATGTTCATCGCTATTTTTAACTATATCGAACACTTGTATGGCAAGATCAAGCCTAAGAAGCTTTTCTTTATGGCAGTCGATGGTGTGGCTCCGCGGGCCAAGATGAACCAGCAGCGTGCCCGACGTTTCCGGACGGCTTTGGATGCCGAGACGGCCAAGGAAAAGGCAATTGCTCAGGGCATCGAGATGCCTAAGGAAGAGGCTTTTGACAGCAACTGCATTACACCCGGTACCGAGTTCATGGCTAAGTTAACCGAGCAATTGAAATATTTTATCAACAAGAAGATCTCTGAAGACAAAGATTGGCAGGGGGTGGAGATCGTACTTTCTGGCCACGAAGTTCCAGGTGAAGGTGAACACAAGATCATGGAGTACATCCGGCATGCGAAAGCACAGCCTCTTTACGACCCTAACGTCCGTCACTGTCTGTATGGCCTTGACGCTGACTTGATCATGTTGGGGCTTTTGAGTCATGATCCCCACTTCTCCCTGCTCCGTGAAGAAGTCACCTTTGGTCGTCAAGTTCAGAAGAAATCTAAGGAGCTTGAACACCAGAACTTTTATCTTTTGCATCTGTGTATGGTTAGAGAATATCTGGAGCTGGAGTTTCAGGAGTTGGAACAGGAGGGTGTTTTGAGCTTTCCCTTTGACATGGAAAAGGTTATTGACGATTTCATTCTAATGGCTTTCTTCGTTGGAAACGACTTTTTGCCCAACTTGCCCAATCTGCATATCAACGAGGGTGCTTTGGCATTTATGTTCAAGATTTATAAGGAATCATTGCCCAAGATGGGCGGCTACATTAACGAACAAGGTGTTATCAAAATGGACCGATTGGGCATCCTTTTGGATGCTCTGAGCGATGTTGAGTTCCGCTTCTTTGAGCACGAGTATTCGGATGCACAGTGGATTCGGGCCAAGAAAGGCGAAGTTACAGAGCCCCAGTCGAAGCCCAAGGGTCTCACGATCACCCCTGCCCAGAAGGAATTATTCAAGCAAGTCAAGAAATATGTCCTGAACCGACCTGAAAAGGCAGCAGAAACGAAGCCTCTTGACTTTGCTTCTTCACTGCCTGCTCGTGACCGCAAGTTTGTGGAGCAGCTGGCAGATGACCTCCGGCTACCGTGGACGACCGTCGCAGACGAACATGGTGATCGGTTTATCCGTGTGCAGCTCCCTGGAAATGACAATGAAGACAGCGATGATGAGGATGAAGAGGCTTCCGTTGCGGTTCAGCGGATTATCCGAAGATACGATAACGCAAAGGTCCAGGAGCTGTCAGCCGAAGAAGCCCAACAAGCGGCGGAGAAGAAGTATGAAGAGAAGTTCCAGGAATGGAAAAATAATTACTACGTCGGCAAATTCGGCTGGGGGCTTGACAGTCATGAGGAAATGAAAGAGTTGACGGAGAACTATGTACAAGGTCTTCAGTGGGTTCTGTACTACTACTACAGAGGCATTGCATCCTGGCCGTGGTTCTTCAAGTACCACTACGCACCGATGATCTCCGGTGAGTGTCGAACCTCTGCAGAGACCGAATATCCAGACTGACTTTTCACAGACGTAAAGAAAGGCCTCAATGCAGATACCAACTTTCGACTTGGCAAGCCCTTCCGGCCGTATGAGCAGCTGATGGGTGTGTTACCTGATCGAAGCAAGAAGACTGTTCCTGCGGCATACCGGGATCTGATGACTTCTCCGGATTCCCCTATCATCGATTTTTACCCGCGTGATTTTGAGCTGGACATGAATGGAAAGAAGATGGAATGGGAGGCAGTTGTCAAGATTCCCTTCATTGAAGAACGTCGCCTGCTGGATGCTCTCGCAACTAGGGAACACTTGCTGACCCCGGAGGAGAAAGCACGGAATGGATTTGGTGCCAGTCTTAAGTTCACTTATTCTCCGGAGGTGCAGTTCATCTACCCGTCCTCTCTTCCCGGTGTGTTCCCAGACATTCCGAACTGCCACTGCATCGAGAACATTTTCGATTTGCCGACTATGGATGGCCTTGAGCCATACATCGGCTTGATGGATGGCGTGCAAATGGGGGCTGCAGCCTTGGCTGGCTTCCCTAGTCTGCAGACGCTGCCCCATGTTGGTCAACTAGGCCACCATGGTGTCACTGTTTTCCAGCAGGAAAGCCGCAACGAGAGCATGGTCATTACATTGCTCGATCCTGGGAGCAGGTCGAGTGTCGAGTTGGCCAAACAGAAACTCGGACAGCGCGTTCATGTGGGTTACCCGTTCTTGCAAGAAGCGCTCGTGATCCGCGTATCAGATGAACTTTTCGACTATATTCTACCGGAACCTACGGGTCATGTTGTTTCTATCCCCCATACCCCTGCTCAAATTGATCAGTGGAAGAGAAAGGCCGAGCGGATCGAATCGTCTTACAGCAAAAGACTTGGTACCATTATCGGCCCGGTCGAGTCGATGGTGCATGTTCAGCTGCTCAAGGGCTTGATCAAGACAGACGAGGGTGCTACGGTTAAGGAATTCGCCGATATCCCTGGGCAAGAAACCGACTACGCCCTCCAGCTGGTGGTTGACGATGTGATCAACCCCGATCAACGCTTCATTGAGCGCGAGGCCCTACCCATTGAGGAGGAGTTCCCCGAAAACTCCCGAGCGTTCATGCTAGGAGAATACAACTATGGACGGCCCGTTCAGATTACGGGTCATGACCATGGCAAGGTAAATGGAATGATTGCAGCGGTGAAGGGTCGAGAACCGGAGTTTGGAAGGGACCGAGCCAGGGATGCTGAGAGGCTCTGCCCTTACATGCCGTCGTACGCCATCGCTCGTAGCTTGCGGCTCAATCCTTTGGTTCTAGCCAAGATCACCTCATCGTTCTCCGTCGACGTTGAAGGGCAGCGTGTCAATCTGGGTCTCAACCTGAAATTCGAGGCCCGGAAGCAAAAGGTTCTCGGCTATTCTCGCCGTGGAGACTCTGGTTGGGAATTCAGCCCTAAAGCCGTGGAGCTCTTGCAACAATATATGATTAAATTCCCCGAGTTTATCGCGGGCATTCAGCGCAATCCGCAGAACGATCGGTACACGCCCACGGACTTCTATCCCGAAGAGACTGCCCTCCTGAAGATGAAGGAAATTCGAGACTGGCTAAAGTCAATTGAGGCGAAGAACTTCGAGCGCGTCCCTCTGGATGCAGAGCAGCTTGATTCTGACCTTGTGAAGTTGATCGAACAAGATGCCGACCAGCTGCTCCAGAGCATGCCACCCATGGAAGTGAAGGCGGTCCGTGGCCTGCCCCGCAGCGCCCTGCTGCGGCCGTCCGATGTTGAGCAACGACTTGGAAACCAGACCTTCAAGCTGGGAGACCGGGTCGTGTATGCTCAAGATTCCGGGAAGGTCCCCATTGCCACTCGAGGCACCGTTGTCGGTCTTACCCGGACACCACGGGCCCTTCTCCTCGACGTGGTCTTTGATGTTTCATTCATGAGCGGTACTACGCTCGGCGACCGTTGCTCTCCGTTCCGAGGCCAGACGGTTCTGGCATCGTCGGTGCTGAACGTCTCCTACCGGCAGCTGACCGTCAATACGCGCGCGTCGAGCAGCGCACAAAAGCAGTCCCAGCAAACGCCCTTGACTGTCGCCGGGTATGGTGCTCCACTTGGGCCCGGTGGGCAAGGACAGCTGAGAGAAGCCCCGGCCCCACCGCCCTTGGGTAATTCCTACCGTGGCGCAGTCTCCGGCATGGGTAACGGTCGCGGACGTGGTGGGCGTGGTGCCTCCAATGGCGTGGGTGCTCAAACCACCTTGCCGTTCCGGCCCCAACCCAACGGAGCATCGCCAGCCGGTGGTCGAGGCCGTGGAGGCATGAATGGGGGCGGCCGTGGTGGGCGTGGAGGACCGGCGCGCACGCGAGGCGGATATGTCGCCGTGGACAACAACCCGGAAGCCGGGGTGCTCAACCATAATCCGAACTTCCGGCCCAAGAACTACTCGCAAGTGCCACCACCGCAGAGCATCTCTGGACGAGGCCGTGGCCGTGGTAATAACATGCGAGGAGACCGGGGAACTGGATTCCGGGGACGCGGTCGAGGACGCGGAGCGGCGGTTGCTGGAGAGAATTAGAGGTAGCTGTGTTAGACGATGAAGGAAGTGATTGTCCAGCCGTGGCGTTGGGATAATAAGTTGGCTGGGTTATATACAGAGAGGATGTCGATGGAGGATTCTATTGTATGTAGCACCACCAGTGACTCGATACCCGAATGACATGACGGACTATGTACCCTGATTGGATTGATCATTCCCCCGCATTGTATGCGGAGAACCTAAAAAGAAATCTACCAATATTAAGCATTGACATCACTGTAATGATAATCCGGGGAAAGCGAACAGTTACATCGGAGATGTCCCGACTCTTGCGGAGACGAAGCTGGAAAAGTATCCGCACCTCTACTATATAGGAGTAGTAACCCTCATCCATTCCCTCCCCCTCCAAGTTTATACTTCGACACAAAACAAAATACTAAACGTAAAATGTCTCCCCCCACCTTCGACAACCTAACCCTCGACCCTTCCGGCCCCCCAGGAAACGCCTGGGGCCTCTTTGGCCCGGCGAACAACGACCTGGGAATGCTCAATCTACTGACCCCGGAAACCGTCCGACAAGCCGCAACCGAGGAAATCCGCGACGGAGTGCGCATTTCCCTGGATCTGCCACTCGACCGTGTGCGATATTCCAGCTTTGGTCGAAAACCGTTCGTCCAGGAACTGATTAATAAGGTGCCGCGGTTCGTGAATGATGATGTGTTGACGTTCAATACGCAAACCAGTACACAGTGGGATGGGTTTCGGCATTATGGTACCCTTCTTTCCATTTAACTACATTATTAGTAGGGATTGCGAGTGAGAGATGCTAACGTGGAGAGTGTGTAGGAAACCAACAACACGGATGCTGGTTCAATGGCCATTGTTTGGAAGAGTTGAAGTCGTCGAGTGTCTTGGGAATTGATGGTAAGCAAGCAACTATACACTACTCACTACAACCTACATCTATCATCTACACACGCAACACATACTAAGATAATAATAATCCAGCATGGGCCAAAAAAGGCGGCATAACCGGCCGCGGCATCCTCCTGGACTATGCCCACTGGGCCAGCAGTCACTCAATCCCCCTCACCCCCTTCACAACCAGCAGCATCCCTCTCTCACACCTCCAATCGCTCATCACCGAATACAACATCTGTCCTCGCCCCGGCGACATTCTCTTTATCCGGACAGGTTTCACAGCCGCTTTCAACGCCCTTACCCGAGCCCAGGAGGAGGAGCTCGGCAATCGCCCAGCGCCCAGCTTCGCGGGCATCGAGAACGGAGAGGCCATGTTGCGCTGGCTATGGGAGAACCAGTTCGCGGCTGTGGCATCTGATACGCCGAGCTTGGAGCCCGCGCCCATTAAGCATGAAAAGGGGATGACACTGCATGAGTGGTGTTTGGCGGGGTGGGGGATGCCGATTGGAGAGTATTTTGATTTGGAGGAGTTGGCGACGTATTGTAGGGAGAAAGGGAGGTGGGGGTTCTTTTTGTGTAGTGTGCCGTTGAAGGTGAGTTTATTTCTTCATCTCTTTAATTAGTGTTTGTGGTTTATGGTTTGGGATGGGCTGGGCTGGGCTAACATTAGATTCGTTGTTTAGGTTCCTGGGGGTGTGGCTAGTCCGCCTAATGCAGTGGCTATTTTGTGATGCTTGGATTGGGTAGACGGGGGTGGTGACTGGGTTGTTTGGTGTTGAGGATGTGCTGGTGTCAGGAGGAATGGAGAGGGGAGGATACATACTACTAGCAGTTGTTTGTTTGTCGATTCGTTTTTCGTGTATATTCCCGCAGCTGAAGAGACTTGCCCGTTGGTGTGGTGCAATAATCATGTAAAGCATCCTGTTCGATATTATATTAGACTCCTGAGAAACTCACGTTCATTTGAAATGGCCATTTGGGTTATGTGCAAATGTGATCTGGAACTTGTAGGTTTGGTGGTGTCTGGTTTGGGGTGAGATAAGAGTCAAATCTAGCTCTGAGTACTACTGGTACTATAGGGGAAAGGGATATCTAATTGCAGAGGACTCTGCACTACGCTTCTCCATATATACGCAAGCCGAACAGCAAATTACGTCTATTATACTCATATATTCAGTATACGGTCAGCTAGACCTATAAACACAGCAATACTCCCAACTTTTTGCTGTCCCCTTTTTTTATCTCCAGGTATACCATAGATCAAACGCCAGGCGCAAATGCAAAGCAAAGCAGAAGGACGGCTGGGAGAGTGAACAAAGAATAGGAAGGTCTAAGAGTACAGGAAAAGAACTAAAAAACATGACAATCATTCACGACCAACCCATTCTCCTTCACCCTCTTCGTTCGAGTCAGCATCAGACATCTCCTCGTCGTTCGCATTCGACTCAAGAGTTTCACCCAATGCCCTCATGGCCAGATCAGGCTTCTTGTTTCCGGCAAGGACCGGCCTTGAAAGGAGGTAGTTGAGGTTGTGGATGTTCTTCTCAGTGAGTCGCTTCAAGCTGTTGTTGATCTCATCGACGGCGCGCTGCACCGCACGGAGCTCAGGCGCGAAGCTGCCCGAGTTCTCCTTGAAGTATCGGCCGTGGCTGCTGAAAAGCGCTTCGATCCACAGCAGGTTGAATTCAAGATGCGGCGTTTCTTCAGCGGCATGGGCCACGAAGCGGAGGAGACGAGGAAGGTAGACTGTAGGCACCGAACGGACCACATGGGAGATTTCGGAGGGAGGGATGGCTTCGTGGACCGCCCGAATGAGTTTCTGCTCGTTCAGACGGAATGCCATGATGAATGCCTTCAGGAAGGTGTCATCGTCGTTCACTTCGCCCGTTACAGCGGCTCGCTTGGCTCCTTCCAGGGTGGCCAGGATGCTGGACGGCGTGATCGAGATGTCGAGGTCGTAGGGGTCGAAGACAAGGTCCGAGTCCAAGCTGTAAATGAGCAGCCCTTCGGTGGAAGCCGCACAGAATGCACGGCCGGTAGGCGAGAAGTCGACTGCCGTGACGCGGACCTCTGGCCGAGTCGTGCGAACTCCGGGGTCGCCACGCTTGGCTCCAGGAAGGTTGCGGTCCACGCGTGTCTCGTGATCGGAGGCTTCACCAGTTTCATCAATAAGGCCTCGCGGTCCAGCTTCGGTCATATCACGGCTGTTGAGGATCTCCTGAGTCCCATCAAGGGAGGTGTTGACCGACACGGTATACTTCTTCAGCATAGAGCCTGTCGCCACATCATACAAGCAGATGTACTTGCTATTTCCAGCAGCGAGAATACAACTACCGTCAGAACTGTACCTGATGCAACGGAAAGACTTGGTCCCGGCAGCATTCGCAGCCGTTTGACGGTCGGTGATCTTACGTCCGCCAGACACATCACGGCGACCATCCACTCCACCGACTTGCACGGCATTCTCCACCGACCAGAAACTCAGCTGCCCGTCCAGGGTGGACGCGGCAACCTGCTTGCCATCAGGTCGGAAAGCCACACTCAGCACATCCGCTTGAAGCTGAAGCGGCTCACTGGTTTGTGTCCGTCCGAAAATGCTCCATACACGCACGGTGCGATCCCAACTGCCGGTCACCAAATGGCTGCCGTCGGCAGCAAACGCCATGGTAACAATGGGACCTTCATGACCAGCCAACTGGTCAAGCAGCTGCCCAGTCTGCACGGACCAGATATGAATGTCGAAGGAGTCTGGAGAGCCGGCGCAAACCACCTCACCACTGGGATCGACAGCAAGCGATGAGAAGGACAACCGGGATGGAGCGGTGAATGTGCGGAAATTGCGATAACGGATGAGATCCCATGCTCTTACGGAGCCGTCCAAGGAGGCTGTGAACAGAACATTTCCTTTCTTGGAGAATTCGCACGCCGTGACTCCACTCGTGTGTTCCGTGAATGTGACGAGACAGAAACCAGACTTGACGTCCCAGACCTTGATCTTTCCATCATCTGCCGCAGTAACGATTCTTTGGCCGTCGGGGGAGTAGGCCAATGCATTCATGGAATCAAGGTGGCCTTGCTGCTTCAAGATGTATGACTCCGACTGCCACTCCCATACCAACAGCTGTCCATGCTGGGAGGAGCCAAACGCCAGCCACTCACCCGACTTGTTTATCGTAACGCAGTCGATGTTGCTCTGGGAGACACTAGACGCGAGTCAGCTCTGTAACTCAGTATTTAGTCAATAATCATACCTCAGCTGATGGATCTGGTTGAATTCCGGGAGGTCATAGAGCCCGAACAGACCGTTCGAGAAACCGACAACCAGCAAGTTGGTGGGCGCATGGAAGGCGGCACAGTTGACCTTGGCATCATTCTGCATAAAAAAGTCTTTCTTGACAATCCTCCACCGGGCCTCCGCAATATCATCCATCGTTTCCGGGTCCTTCTTGGTCACATATTCCCATCGGAAAAGAGCTCCGTCGGAGCTGACTGTGTAGATCTATTTGCGATTAGCCTGAGCTCCAGCACCCCTGCGCGCAGACTTACCGATTCTTGATCAGCAGAGAAGTATGCCGCCTTCACGCCCTGGCGATGACCGGCCAGAGTTGTGGGCTCGAAGCCCTCCTCGGGGTCCATACTCCATACCCGGGCCGTCAAGTCCTTGGAAGCTGTGAGCAAGAAGCGAGAGTCGCTGGACCACTCGATGTGCTGGATCACGTCGAAATGACCGGCAAGGTCACGGTGCAAGACGAAGGGGGCAAATTCGAGCTCGCCATTGTTGTCAGTGCCCGGTGTTGTCGGAGTGTGCCAGAACTGCAGGCGTCTTCCAACTCCGACGGCGAAGTGACGACCAGACGGGGAGAACTGAAGCGCGGAGACACGGCCCTTGAAGGAGAAATGATGGATAACAATTCGGCGGAGGAAGTTGGTCAAAATGGCGCGGCCATTCTCGTCAATGGTCAGGAGGAGGTTGCCGCGAGGAGAGAGAGCAACACGGTCGATGTTCGTGCGGTGCGCAAAAGGAAGGGTATAGGAGGTGTTGCTGCGGGGAGCGGCACATCAGTATTCTTTGTCGCCATTTGACAGCATTAGAGAAATTGGGAGACATACTGCACTAGGTCGAATACCGAGACCTGATTGCCCACTGGGGAGATCAAGCAGGTACCATCGGGCGTAAAGAGCAGATTACCTTTGCGATAGACCGTACCCAGTAGGTTGGAGAACTAGTCGAGACATGTCGTTAGATCATTTTCCAACACTTCCTTTTCCCCCTTTCGATGCGAGGTCACATTCAAACTAAAGATGTCAAACAGATTGAGCTCACCTTAAAATCCGTCTTCATTGTCGCCAACCGAATCCGTTTCCACGTCAATCAGCAAGCGCTTTTCTCTGCCATCCGGACGATCTTCAAAAAAATCGTCTTGCCAAAAGCGGGCGATAAGAGCCGGGATCAACAGTTGCTCCGGTCCCGAGACGTTAGTCTCCAATAGTGCTAGCGCCATCCGGGGCCCTAGCGTCGGCGCTAACCCAGATGAGGCAAAGAACTATCGTTTCACGTATGCCTGAGGCTGCCAACATCCCCGGGTGGGCTGGTCACGCCGCTGTGTTTGCAGGTGTTTGCCTGGGGGGGATTCAGGGGCAGCAACCCGACCAGCCAACCAGCCAAACCAACCAAGTGCAAGAAGAAGGCACGTCCTCCAAGTTCCATCCACACCAAGTCCCTCTTTCCCCTTCACGCCCACCCCCCAACCGGCCATTGCTTCTCTTGTCCTCGCCTTGTCCTCCTCCCATCTCTCGTTGCTTTTCCCTCGTACCGTTGGCCCTTCTCCGTCAGGCCAGGGTTGTCGTTTGCCTTTATTTACTCCCGCTGTTTAGCTCTGTTTAATTGAGTTCCAACTCACCCCTTTATCATCATGTCCTCCACCGAGACTGCCTCCCCCATTGGCATTGCCAACGTAAGTTATGAACTATATCTAACCCTCCAAGACAAGATTCGAAAATTCAATCTAACATGGTTTCTCGATAGCTCCCTAACCAGCGGTATGTGCCCGCCAGATGCGCGCCAACTCATGGTCTACTCTAACCAATCTATTCAGGCACAAGATTGTTGCCAAGCGGGGTGCGGCCTTCACTATCATGGTTGGTTGATTCAGGATACCGTGCGATGGAAGGGGCCAGAATGCTCATCGAAACATATAGGTCGCTGGTGAATCCGGCTTGGGAAAGACCACCTTTATCAACACCCTGTTCTCTACCACCATCAAGAACTACGCCGACCACAAGCGCCGTCATCAGAAGCAGATTGACCGGACCGTCGAGATTGAGATCACCAAGGCTGAGCTGGAAGAGAAGTTCTTCAAAGGTACATACCCACAAACTCCTCACCGCAGGACTGGCTGCTAACGCTGTGGGTTGCCTCCCCGCTCTAGTCCGCCTGACCGTCATTGATACCCCCGGATTCGGAGACTATGTCAACAACCGTGACTCTTGGCAACCCATCATTGAGTTCCTCGACGACCAGCATGAGTCGTATATGTTGCAAGAGCAGCAGCCTCGCCGTACGGATAAGATCGATATGCGTGTGCATGCCTGCCTGTACTTCATCCGCCCTACCGGACACACCCTGAAGCCCCTCGACATTGAGGTCATGAAGCGCTTGAGCTCTCGTGTCAACCTTATCCCGGTCGTTGCCAAGGCCGATACCCTCAGCCCCTCGGATCTGGCCGTCTACAAGCAGAGAGTGAGCCGCTCATCCATTGTCCCGTGCTGAAGAATGGAAGTTAACCACAGGTGTCCCTTTCAGATTCGTGCTGTCATCGAGGCCCAGGGCATCAAGATTTACACCCCTCCCGTCGAAGAGGACGACGAGCATGCCGCCGCTCACGCGCGCACCCTGACGGCTGCCATGCCTTTCGCTGTTATCGGATCCGAGAAGGACGTCAAGACTACCGACAACCGGGTTGTCAAGGGCCGTCAATACGCTTGGGGTGTTGCCGAAGTTGAAAACGAGGATCACTGCGACTTCAAGAAGCTCCGCTCTATTCTGATCCGCACCCACATGCTCGATCTCATCCACACTACCGAGGAGCAGCACTACGAGGCCTACCGCGCACAGCAAATGGAGACCCGCAAATTCGGCGAGGCCCGCCCCAGGAAGCTGGACAACCCCAAGTTCAAGGAAGAAGAGGAGAACCTGCGCAAGCGCTTCACCGAGCAGGTCAAGGTCGAGGAGCAGCGGTTCCGCCAGTGGGAGCAGAAGCTCATTGCAGAGAGGGATCGCCTCAACAAGGATCTGGAGGCCACCCATGCTGCGTAAGTTTGCCCAGTAGCTCGTTCAGAACGACACAATGCTAACTGCAAACAGAATCAAGTCGCTCGAGCAGGAAATCGAGGGGCTGCAAGGCTCTTCCACTCGCAGCCACGGACGTCGTTAAGATACCAGAGGACCACCGGACACGACCGTGGGCCTGTAACGGACTGTGGAAAAAGCAGAAGAAATGTGCTTTCGTCTCGACTAATATCTTTACATCTGACTACCCCTTTAAATGTTTTTCTTTCCTTTTGATTTTCGGATTTTGCGCGCTCAGGGGGACCATGCAACCTGGGTGGAGACTGACGCCCAGAGTCGTCTGGTGATTTTGCTCTTCTGATTTGCCTGCTGGTAACTAGCGATGGTTTGACTACATCTTCGATAATAACCCACTTGTACTCCGTAGCATGTCAATACAGATTTAATTATGTGCATGTGCTGCAGAGAGAAGGAAGAAAAAAGAAAGTATGAACCGTTTTGCCGCCGTTGATCCGCAGGAATGCGGAGAAACTTTTGGCGCATTGCTAAAGCTAAAATTATATGGGACCCCGCCGGCGGTGAGCCGCGCCCATCTATTTGTTTCTCCAACTTCCGCATTCCGGGCCGTCACTTCTGGATGTCGAGAAGTGTACCAGTCTCCGATCCTGCACAGCTTCGCTACGCTTGTTGCTAAGAGCAGTCCCTCGCCCAAAAAAAATTGCCAATGCCAGCAATAAAACAATTCCCCACCCAACTGGCCCACACCCTCAGAACCCACAATGGTAAGCTAACTCTACGCCTTAAGCTCTAGAAGCTCTAGATCCCCTCTGACGTACCTCAGGCCCCGTGAACGCAGTGACCTTCTCCAGCTATCCTGGAACCTATGTCCTCACCGGCTCGACAGATCGCGCTATTCACCTCTCCCGGGCTATTCCCAACAATAACAATGCTGCCGCCGCAGAGACGACGTCCCCGATCCAGAAGTATGAAGCGCACGGGTACTCTGTGTTGGACATTGCCGTCGCAGCAGACAACTCCCGGTTCGCCAGCGTTGGTGGAGACCGCCAGGTTTTTCTGTGGGATGTCGAGCAAGGTGGAACAATCAGGCGCTGGAGTGGACATAATGCGCGTGTTGAGGCAGTCCAATTCGCAGGCGAGGACGACTCTGTAGTTGTGTCTGGTAAATTCGTCCTGATTTATATGCACGCTTTGGTTATGATCACTGACGGGTTTTGCGTACGGTTTAGGCAGTGCAGACACAACTATCAACATCTGGGATACCAAGTCCAACTCCTACAAGCCAATTCAGACCCTCACCGAAGCCCGAGATACTGTTTCTTCCTTGCACGTACATATGCCCACGTACTCTATCGCAAGCGCGAGCTACGATGGTCGAGTCCGAGTGTACGATATCCGAATGGGGCGCACCCTTGTTGATGTTCTCGCGCATCCTGTTACTAGTGTTCGCTGCTCCAGTGACGGCAATGCTCTTCTAGCATCTACAACAGACGGGCGCATCCGAATGCTGGACCGGAGTGACGGCAAGCTATTAAAGGCGTTTGGCGGCGACGATGCCAGTCCAATCCAAGGTAATAGCACTGCCATATATCGCAAAAGCGAACTTCGAATTCGCTCTGTTTTCGCGAAAGCAGACGCCATTGTCCTCAGCGGGAGTGAAGCAAATGACTCCGGCAATGGCAATGGTGCTACGCAGGCGTCCGTATTCGCCTGGGATGTGCTTAGTGGAGAAGTGGTCGCGTGTGTTCCAGCTGGACCAGGCGTCAAGGCCGTGAGTGCTGTATCGTGGAATGAAAAAGGAGGTTGCTGGGCTGGTGGTTGTTCAGATGGTATGTCTCAGCTATGGCAGTTTCCAATTTCGTTTGTGCAACCCTCCCCTCCCCTGGTTACGTTTGGTGACTATCTATCATACCTAGTTCTCGTTTTCAAACTCTGCACTGTACCTGTTTTCCTCACTGCGTGGCGCATTGCACGTGGCTAACCATCGGTCCCTCGGCTTACTTGTAACCCATCAGGAACTGTCAAAGTCTATCGCTAAGTTTAGGCTGTGTTGTCCGACCCTTGCTCAGCTAGCTAGCGGCTTAGCTATCAAGCTAGTTCCCAGCCACTCATCAACTAATCTACACAAGACAAGACAATAACCCAGCAACCCAGCCATCCGGTCAAACTGGCAAGGTTCACCGTCAGCAAAATAATCATCAGCCACCAGCGCCGACGCACAGACATTCTCACCCTCTTGGCTTCCCTTCCCACCCCATGCTCGTGTTCCAACCCTGACTGGATACCATGCAATCTTATAAGAAAACGCCACCACCACCATCAGCACGTGTAGCGTGTAGCGCTTGTCAAAGCACAAATGCGAACGGATGTTCTCAGCCTTGTTGCCTGCATTATCCATTCCCCCCATCAGTACTGCTGACTGCTAGCCAGCCAGCCAGCCAGCCAACATTGGCTGATGTCTATCATCTTGCTTACTTTCCGTCCTTGCCCCTTCCTTCTCGGATATCCCCGGCAAAAAGAAAAGATAGATTGCGTTGCGTCGCTTCGCATTGCATCAGCTGTCGTGATCATCAGATAGGTGGTGCGTGCGCCGCGCCACTTCACTCCACTCCACCCAGACCACAAAAGAAAGAATAAGTACCGACGCGACGCTACTATTGTTGTTCGTCTGCCGAAACAGGGAATAGGTTCGATATGGTATGGTGTGGTGTATCGGTGTAGCGACTACGTATCCACCTGTTCATTGATTGGATCATTGGTGTGCGAGTGGAGAAAGACTGAGCAGGCTGAAGCTTTCTTGCATTTCTCTTTTCGCTGTTCACGAGGCAATTCAGCCTGTGGCGACAGACAGGTGCGGCGGCGGGTCTTGTCGTCGCTCACTGATTCACTCCCTCACTCGCTCAGCCTCGAAGGAGCGCCTGAATTGCCTGAGCGCCTAACTATCCACGGCACAGCTAATTGGTGAAAGACGAGTCTACTGAGTGATTTTGATGACGCGGACACGGTTTGGTTGGTAATAATACAAGGAAGAGGCTAAGCAATAGACCCAACTCGAGAGTCAATGAATCTCATCATAGAACTTGTCTGTTATTCTTCCATACAATTTCCAATAACCCATATGCAGTTTAGACCAGAGAAAATGGATCGTCAGCCATGCTAGATACAAATCACGTATGTCCGCCCTAATTAGTCCGCACGAACCCAATTACACAACTCCGACCTCGCTTGCTCAATTATTGACAGTGTAGGAAAAACTGGAAACATTGCGTCGTAGTTAGAGAAGGTAGAGAGAAGACATTGAATGTCGCAGGAGATCTTGAAAGAAGAAAATGTATATATCTCGCATACATTAACTTTTTGGTATGTATGCAGCGTAATTCCGAGCTGCAATCTGCAAGAAGTGGGCGGGCAAGCAAGAAATGTTCAATGCAACAAAAGGAAAATAAGGCACTGCAGCGTTTTTGGTATCCGTTTGAGCATAATTCATTAGGAAAACAAGCAAGAATTGAAATAACACAAGAGAATTGAGTGTGGTTGTTACGCTGAATAACTGAAAATGGAAAATAAGCAGAGTCAAAGAAGATAGAAAATGCAAAATAAGTCGTTCAAGAAACTTTTGGTTGTAAGCAGAAAATGGAGGTCAAAGTTCGAGTGCCGTAATTGCTGCATCGGGTTCGTGGCTTTCCGCTTCGAGGGCATCGACGGCACGATGAAGTTCGTGTTCACCCACAATGATGGAGCCCGCCCGCGCGGTGCTGAGAAAGCTGATCTCGACGGCATCCATGTATGGGTCCATGTCTGGCTGCAGACGATGGGTTCTGTAGCCGGGGCTGGTACCAAAGGATCTGACAGGTCCACCGGAGCCGTGGCTAGAGGACAGGACGTTTTTAAAGGCACTGTCAAAAGACGAGCCACCACCGTTCCATGAATGAGAGAGAATTGTGGATACGTCAGTATCCTCATCGCCCCGGGCGTGCGTTGCGTCGGCCAGTCGGCCAGCAACGCCACACACAATACCTGAAGCTTCAAGAGGAAGCTTACGCAGGTCGAGCATAATGGGGACAAGGATCTCCTCCTTAGATCCCAAAAGAAGACTTGTATCGTCATCCGAGTCAGTGGCCGCAGATGAGTCACTTGAGAAGCGGGGGAGAAGGCGCTTTTCCAGCAAGAGTGACGCCGCGGGGTCAGCAGCGGTTAGGGTGAGAGAGAGGAACCGTGGCTTGTCGACGACCAAAGCTGTTGTGAGGGCTTCACGGAGTATGGCAATGGAGCTTGTATCGCTACTGTAGCGATGATGCGCGGCGCATTGCACTAGACGCAGGGTTCTGTCAACGGATGGAATAATATGGTGCTTCCGCAGAGAGCTAAAAGTGCGCGTCTGCAGTTCGTCCAGCGACGAGGGTGGCGGGGTGGCAGGAGGGGAGCCCAAACTGCTCGCCGACCGGGACGAGATGGGACTGAAGCAGCTGTTGAATTGGGATTGGTTATTGTTGACGAAAGCCTCTGTCGACATTTCGAAATGGAAGCCACGCTTCTCCAAGGCTTCGATAACCTGCGTCTTGCTTCGAAGAGGAACGATGATGTAGTCGGAAAAGTACGTGGAGATGAAGAAGATAGAGCTACAGCATGTCAGTCAGAACGTTGCACAAATTTAAGGTAAGCTGCACCATACATTCCTGCCATGGCCAGCGGGCTCGTAAGCTCGAGGACCCGTTGGCCGGCTTCGAGGCCCTCTCCGTACACCTGCATGGCAATGAAATCATCATGGCTGATGGATAGGCGGCTCTGGCCTGAGGAATTGCTCTGAACGAACTTGTTGACAAGAGGAGCGAAGTACTCATTAGCGAGCTGTCTGGGACACATGATCGAGCATTCCACAGGGGTGATCGAGAAGTTCAAAAATGCCGGCTGGTGGCGTCTATGACCCTCTGCGTACCCATCATCCTCTTCCAGTTGGCTTTCGGAGATAGGAGGCACCTCATGGAAGAGAATCTGCATGATCGGGTTCAAAAAGAAGGGATATAGGTCTAAAGGGATATGCACCAGGGCCAGTCTGTCTTCCTGTATTTGGACGACAGTGGTTAACAAGATCAGCCTAACACGAGGATATTCCATGCTGCTTCACGT